TAATTTTATGATTTTTCAAATTTAAATCGATTTTTAAATTTTGTTAAATTTAAAAATTATTCGATCGAAATTTAAGTTTTTAGTTTTTTTTTTTTTAAAAATTATTATTTTGTGTGCAACGCCGCTGCCGGCGATGCGGAAGCGCAACAAGGAAGGGGCGCTGCGCCCTGCACTACATGGTGCTGCATCGCATGGAGCACCGCGTGGTGCTGCTGATTACAGCAGCGGCGAAGGCGCTGCTGCGTGTTGCAGCAGCACATGTTGCCGCTGCAAGCAGGGGGCATCATTCCCGCAGCAGCAAATGCTGCATATTATTTGAGGGGACATCGCCGGCGAGCCCGCCCCCAGCTTGTTCAAATTAAAAAAAAAAAGATTTTTTTTTTGGGTTTGGATGATTTTGGGGGCGGGGGTATAGGCTGTAAATTTGAAGTTAAGAGGTCCTTAAATGCAATTTCAAATTAGGGTTTTATTTTAAATATTCAGCCCATTAAGTTTAAGGTTTTGACGTTTCAGCCCTCTAAGGTTAAAAATTTATTCAATTAGGCCTTTAAAGTTTCTGGGTTTAATAATTCAGTCCCTCAAGTTTCAAAATTAATTAATTTTGGACCCTTAAAGTTTTAATTTTAATTTTTAAGCCCCTATAGTTTACAACTTTAGTTATTCAGTTCCTAAAGTTTAAAGTTTATTCAATTTGGGCATTAATGTTATGGGTTTTAGCAATTCAGCCCCAAGAGTTTTAAAAATTAATTATTTTGGACCATTTAAAGTTATGATTCTGTAATTAAAGTCTCAAATTTTTTTATTTTGTTCTAATTGGTCCCGAAGGTTTTAAATTTTTAAATTTGGCTCCTAAAGTTTTTCAATAATTTTTGACTCCTAAAGTTTTTCAATAATTAATTTTTTGGATCCTTAAAGTTTTGAATAATTAATTTTTCACTTCTAAAATTTTTAATAATTAATTATTGACCCTTAAAGTTCTAGATAATTATTTTTGGGTCCTTAAAGTTCTGAATTATTAACCATGGGCCCATATAGTTTCAAATAAAATAAAAGAATTAATGATTAACAATTATAATTCAAATTTTGGTATTTCTTTTGGATTACTAATTTTTCTAAATACATTAATTGAAGCAACATGTCACCA